TCTAGGCGACAGCAAGGAGCAAAGTCGACTAGCTCAGCAACCAGGGCAAACGCGCAGTGGACTCAAAGGAGGTCAGTGACAACAGTAGCAAGGAGACGCGTGACAGTATCTGACTGGCAGCACGAAGAGAGTCCGACTCCGTGTCGGCAAGAGCAGGAAGAGAAGACTCAGGAGGAGAAGCGCAAAGGGTACGCAGAGGAGCAGTGGACGGACGCAGAGACATTCGTGCTGCCAAGGTACAGGAGGACTCTGACGCGCACCGCGACCATAAGTGCGGGCAGCACGGACCGCGACGTCAGTGGACGAGCCGCAGGCTCACGACGCTCACCAGACCTCCAGTATGACCAATGTAGGGAGACGGAGCAGCAGTGGGGAGGCCGGCTGTAAACTGTAACTGTGACCGGACAGTCTGTGGACACTCTAAGGGAGGAGGAGGACCAGTAGAAGGCGGGAGACCAAGAACCTGCTGAGGGGCGGAACGAAGTACCGTCGAGGCCGCGCGGCGACTCCGAACACAGCAGGGACAGCACCAGCACCCCCAGTGGCAGCACCAGCACCAGTAGCAGCTCCAGCTCCAGTACCTCCACCAGCACTAGTAGTACCCCCTGCAGGACCGCCTCCAGGACCGACAGTAGTAGCCTCCGCGCCAACACACGCAGCAGCTCCAGCTCCAGAAGTAGCCGCAGGTCTAGCAGCTCCAGTACTCCCAGTACAAGCACCTCTGAGACCCGTGTCACCAACTCCCTCAGCTGCAATAGAACCTCTAGTACTCGCAGCACCTCCAGCAGCTCGCCTCCAGCGCCGGGCAAACCACTCACGCAGCTGCTGTGGAGAGAGTGGTTCCCAGCGAGAAGAAGCACCCGGAGAATCGCCAGGCACAGCACCAGCAGGCCCAGCTCCCTCAGGCTGCGCACCCCCCGGCTCAGCACCTCCAGGCGTAGCACCCCCAGGCTCAGCACCCCCAGGCTCAGCACCCCCAGGTCAGCACCCCCAGGTTTAGCACCCCCAGACTCAGCACCCCCAGGCTCAGCACCCCCAGTCGTAGTACCCTCAGGCTCAGCACCCCCAGGCGTAGCACCCACACGCTAAGCACCCCCAGAGTCAGCACCCCCAGGCTCAGCACCCTAAGCAGCACCAGAGTCACCAGCGATCTCGACAGGCTCAACAGCATCTATCTGGGACACACCTGAAGGGGCAGGACCCTGAGGAGAGGGGGTCTACCGGGGGGGGACCTGGCACAAGGAAGAGCGGTGGCGGGGGGAGGGATCGGTGGCGGGGGAGGGATGGAGTGCGTTAGGGAAGAGACGGTAGTAGGGGACCGACTCGTCGAACATGACGTCCTGGGAGGAAAGAACACGGCGAGAGGTGGGTGGTAGAACTGCCACCCTGGCGCGTCAAGGGGGAAACCAGGAAGATGCAAGGAGCAGCACGAGGGGACAGCTTGTCCGCAGACAAACGCCCGAGATCCCAGACACGAAACGCAGACGCATCGCCAACCTTCCCTGTCCACAGCAAAGCTGGGGAGGTCTTTGGCATGGAGACCCTCGGCTGAAGGTTGATCTGATGCGCCGCGTACCGAACCGCAAACGGCCACAGAAAATGGGGGGCAGCCGCATGCATCATGGACGTACGGGCGACGTCCATGACCATGCCAATGCGGCGCTCAGCAATCCCATTTTGCTCTGGAGATTCCGGAAGCGTGAAGGTCTGGCGGATGCCTCATGCACGACAGTAGGCTCGTAGAAGGCCAGAGGAGAACTCTCGGCCTCTATCCGAGTGCAGACGCAGAACAGGAAAGTCCGAGCTGAAGCTCTGCCTGAGCTGGAGACGAGCTGCGCGGATCCAGTCGATCAACACCTCAGTGACATCACCCTTGCTGCGCAAGGGGAAGACTGTGGTGTAACGCGAGTAGTTGTCAACCACCAGTAGGAATTAGCGCTTGTGACCCTGTCCACGGACGCGGGCTGGGCCCCACACGTCCATGTGAAGCGTCTGCAGCACGGCCTCTGTCAGAGGAAACTAGGAGGAGTGAGGGGCAGCCCGCTGCCGCCCCTCGACAGGGGGACGCAGGTAGGGCCGGGCCCTGGAGGAAGGGTAGGGAGGGACCGGGGAAGACCAGAGACAAGGACGACGGAAGGCCATGCTTCGGAGACGAAGCAGGGAGGGGTGACCAAGGCGTGGTGCCAGAGGAGAGTCTCGTGAGACAGGAGGCGACACGACAGGGGGCAGACTCAGGACCAGACATGGACGCTGAAGCTAACACTGACCCGACGCAGCTACCTGACCAGACGCAGGGACTAGAGGAGACGCAGTGGTCAGTGTGTACAGGCTCGACCTCGGCCGACGTGCAAACGTGGCCAGGTGTCGGCCTGTCCGAGCGTCCGTGCATGGGTCATCCGCTAACTCGCAGGAATGAACTGGTGAACCCCTGCATCCTGTAGGTCAGCACCACTCACCAAGTTTGTAGAGAGAACGAGGGGAGGTAAGACGCAGACAGGGTGCCAGAGGGGGGCCCGCAGGACACGGGAGACAGTGGAGAAGTGAGCAAGGACAGGACCCTTAGAGGGGTCTTCAGGGAGCTGCAACTGGCCGACCAGCGCGTGAGTGTGGTGCGGTCTCGAAAGAAGGAGCGAGAAGCCCCTGAGTCAGTGTGAAGGTGTGGGAGGCCGAAGCTGACGCAGTACCTAAGAGCGTAGACTCACCTGTACCGGAGGAAGGCAGACGCACTAGCACCTAGAGCAGCAGCCCTCGCTAGCACCAAGAGCAGCAGCCTCACCAGCACCTAGAGCAGCAGTCGCAATGGCCCGGGTCGGCGGGAAACACCAGGTAACAGTCACCTTCCTTACTAATAGACACAGTATACATAGCAGCAAGAATAGCATCAAAGTCAAGGTCAAAGTTAGCTACCCCTGCCTAGACAGCTCGCCCCAGCAAGGGATCTCAGTGGCCTCCGGGAACAGGTGAGGCCAAAGCGTCCCGTCAGGCGGCCAAAGCAAGCGCTGGGTGGGGGTGCGCACGCCCCACACTTGCTCACCCGCACGGTCGCCGTGCGCGGACGTAGGTTGAAGGACGAGTAACCCCACACCGCTGGCTTGCAGATACCACTCACGGGAGCTGCTGAGGGGACAGGGTCTCCCGACTGCGCTGCTTAGCTGCTGGCGTTGACCACCACACTGGAGCCACTCCTCTGCGAAGAGCCACAACCTCCTCCTCCTCCTTCTCCGCCACCGCCTCCTCCACCTCTGCCACCTCCACCACCTCCGCTCCCACCGCCACCGCCGCCGCCGCCTCCACTGCCGCCGCCGACACCTCCACCCCCGCCATCACTCCCACCAACCACCCCCCACCCCCTCCACTGCCTCCACCCGCCGCCTCCACCGCCCCCAGCTAGCTCCTCCAGCGCCCCTGCCCCCCTTGCCCTTGCCAGAGCGACGCTTCCTACTAGGGGTAGACGCCGCACCGATCGACTCCAGACCAACGAGGTCGGCCGCAACAGCAGAGGCAACAGAGGGCAAGAGAGGGGAGGGGGAACACCCCTCAAAGATCGGGGTGCGCGGGTCACCACGAGAGGCCCCTACAGCGACTATGCTCTCTCCGCTGCTAGGAGGGCCTTCTCGAGGAGGTCAAACAGTGAGAGTGGTGGGACAGACTGAGAGAAAGTGGTCCCTGACTACGCGAAGGGAGTCAGGGAGGACGGGTGCTATGTAGTAGAGAGTGATGTACATGGGGGGGGGGTTCTTGGCGCAGAACTCAGCAGGAAGCGCAGCGCGGTAGCGAGTGTCACTAGTGCGGAGGTGCGTAATGAGGTCAGCGACTGTGGGAAAGGCAGCAAGGTCAGGGAAGAGGTACGGTAGCATGAGGCGGCTCTGTGCAGCAGTGGCAGAGGAGGAGTAGCGTGGCAACTACAAAGCGTCGTACAAGGTCTGAGCACTCTTGTACTCGCTAAAGTGCGCACGCTCAGAGGTAGGAAGGTGGCGACGCACAGCAAGACGTGCAGCAGCATCGCGCATGGCCCAATGTGAGCAAACAGTAGCGTCAGCATCAGCAGCAGGGGCAGGAGAGGCACCGGAGGTGAGGTCAAAGAGAGAGAGTCCGTCTGCCCTATCGCACTGTAGAAAAGCTGCAGGTCATCTATCAAGACGTCAAAGTCAATGGCCCGACCTCAGCGTCAAAAGCAAGGACACTATGGGTAGCTATGACAGCAGTAGACCAGCAGCGTAAACAGTAGGGTAAGGGCAGTGCTAAGAAAGAGGCGCTGCTCTTACTAGATAGGGCGGCTCGGGCGGCTCGGCGGCGCGGGCGGCTCGGCTGTTGGGCGGCTCGGCTGCTGGGGCGGCTCGGCTACTATGGCGGCTCGGCTGCTGGGCGGCTCGGCTGCTGTGGGCGGCTCGGCTGCTGGGCGGCTCGGCTTCTGGGCGGCTCGGCTTCTGGGCGGCTCGGCGGCTGGGCGGCTCTGCGGCTCGGCTGCTAGGCGGCTGGGCTGCTCGGGCGGCTCGGCTTCAGGGCGGTGCGGCGGTCGGTAGCTGCTTGGCTGGTATGGAGGCTGGGGCAGCTCGGGTGGCGGGCGGCGCTGCAGCAGGCGACGGGGCCGCAGGTAAGGGCGGCGGGGCCGCAGGTAAGGTGGCGGGGCCGGAGCGAAGGCGCGGGGCCCGCAGGTAAGGTGGCGGGGCCGCAGGTAAGGTGGCGGGGCCGCAGGTAAGGGCGGCGGGGCCGCATGTAAGGTGGCGGGGGCCGTAGCAGCAGGCGACGGGGCCGCAGGTAAGGTGGCGGGGCCGCAGCGAAGGGGCGGTGGGGCCGCAGGTAAGGTGGCGGGGCCGCAAGTAAAGTGGCGGGGCCGCAGTGAAGGGCGGCGGGGCCGCAGGTAAGGTGGCGGGGCCGCAGCGAAGGGCGGTGGGGGCCGCAGGTAAGGGGTGGCTGGGCCGCAGGTAAGGGCGGCGGGGCCGCAGATAAGGGCGGCGGGGCCGCTGGTAGGGTGGCGCGCCCGCAGGTAGGTGGCAGGGCCGCGGGTGAGGGCGGCGCAAGGGCGGCGACGGGCTGCTTAGGGTGGCGACGGTGCCGCGGAAGGGCCGCGACGGGCCGTAGTAGGGCGGCGACGGGCCAAGTAGGGCGGCGTCAGGCCGAGAAGGGCGGCGACGGGCCGAGTAAGGGCGGCGCGAGGGAGGCCGCTAGGGGCGACGCGACGGGGCCGAAGGAGGCCTAGGACGGGCGCGACGGTAGAGAGGGCACACGAGGCGCGACTCGGGCCTAAGCAAAGCGCGCTCCGGGCAGGAAAAAATATTTCGACTTGGTGGGCCCTAGGAACAGTTCCCACGAGGGAACCTGCTCGATACCATGAGAAGAAACGAGAATGGATGAACTATGAATGAATTGGGTACAAGTACTAACCCTAATTGGGTTGTACCCCTTATGGGCTACCCCACTATAGCCTACATAATATGCATGAGCTATAATGTTCTTACACGGGGTCCTACGGAAGCAGCACCAACTGGGGACATCGATCTCGTGGAATGAGGGCGCCACGACACGTGGCGTCGCCGTGAATGCCGTTGCCGCACCGTTTAAAGGGTGCTGCTTCACTTGCAATCGACCGAAACACAATAAGAGCGAATGCCCGGAAAACACTAAGGGAAAGGGGGGAAGCTGAGCAGCAGAAACAGACCAAGCAGCAGGGAAACGCTGGGAGTTAGTAGCAGACGGGCCCTCTAGTGAGAGGTCACGCCGCTCGCCCGACCAGGGCCCCACACGTCCACGTGGAGAGTCTGCAGGGGAGAAGTCGTCGAGGGAATCGAGGAGGAGTGAGGAGCGGCGCACTGCCGCCTCGAAACACAGGGAAGGCAGGGAGGGGCAGGCGAGGGTGGGAGGGGAGGCAGAGACCTGGGAAGACCAGAGACAAGGAGGCGGGAGTGCATGCCACGGAGGCGTGGCAGGGAGGGAGACCAAGGCGGTGGTGCCAAAGGAGAGTCTGGTGCGATAGGAGGCGACACGAACAGAAGGTTGCTAGCTGACTTGACACGGCTACCTAAGGAGGCTCAGTAGTCAGTGTGTACAGACTCGACCCAGGCCGGCGGATGAACGTGGCCAGGTGACGGCTCGTCCGTGTACACGTGAAGATCGACACACGCTGACCCCCAAGAGTGGTGGTAGTGACCATCGCATCCTGGAGGGCACCGGTACTTACCAAGTTCGTAGAGAACGAGGGGAGGTGAAGACCTTAGAGCGAGTCGGACGGAACTGCCGGACACGGGAGAACACTGGAGGAACGTGCAAGAACGGGGCCCCCTGAGGAGGTCAGCCAGTCTGTCTGCAGCAGGTGCAGGGAGTGGTGTGACTGTGGTATTGTCGCAAAAGAAACAGCGGGAAGCACCTGAGTCAAGCGTGAAGGTGTGCAAGGCCCGAGTAGGCGTAGTACCAGGGAGAGCAGACTCACTAGCACCTAGAGCACGGTAGCGAGTGTCACTAGTGCGAAGGTGGGTGACTAGGTCGTCGCCTGTGGCAAAGGCGGATAGCTCAAGAAAGAGGTAGGGCAGTATAAGGCGGCCGAGAGCAGCAGTGGCAGGAGAGGAGTAATGAGCGACTACTGTTAAAGTTATATTTAATATCTATCCTGCTTGCTGTAGTTATTGTAGTGTAGTTCGTTAATTGTTTGTTTGGTGATGCACCTTTGCTAGTTTTCTATTTGTAGCTTGTGTGCTATAGTGAACCCATCCATTCTCGCTTACCTTGGCAACAACTCTCTCGACATACGTTGGCCTAGGCTCCTAAGGATAGTTTCTTGACATGGTATTGAGCCAACCGACCCTCACCGAGTGATTGTGCCGGTTCACGCAATCGACCACACCCGGCTGAATAAGGAGGGTACTACGGTAGACAGCCCCATACTGCTTAGTGGGAAAATTGGGACACACTTAGTCAAAATATTTGTCGACGGGGGAGCCAGCTACAGTTTGATCAACACCGCCACGCCACGGAAACTGAAACTGCCACTAGACAGATGCTTACCTGAGATCGATGCAAGATTGGTTGATGGCACACCACTGGCGATACGGGAACACGTAGACCGGGTTCGGATTTGATGCGGGGTTAACTTCACGTTTAGCCAAGAAATGCTCCTGACAACCCTCGACGGAACCGACATTTTACTCGGCCGTGATTGGTTGCGACGACACAATCCGTGTATCGACTAAACGACGGGTGATTGCACCGTGCAAGTGAACGGTAACAACATCGCCTTACCTCGTTGGGGCTTGCCTGAGTCTTCGTCGGTGCGTGTCAACGAGATCACGATGAAACGTGCCGTAGCGGCAGGAGCTGACGTGTACACGGTTGACATTCAGATTGTCAGGGCAGCAGACAAAGGGGGGGAGTTACAGAAACTGCTAGCCGACGTACAGGATGACTTGGCAGCACTCCTGAAGCGGTACAGTGGGATATTTCCGAATGACCTGCCGACATGAGTGCCACCTCAGCGACCGCATGACCACAAGATAGAGTTAGGACCAGGGGCACAGCCGACAGTACAGCGACAGCTCCGACCGACCCAACCCAAACAGGACGAACAGAGGAAGCAGCTGGATTACCTGCTCCAGATGGAGTTTATTCACCCGAGTTCGTCTCCCTTTGTGGCACCGATACTGTTTACGCCGAAGAAGGACGGGGATTGAACATGTGCATAGATTAGAAAGCACTAAACATGGCTACCATCAAATCCCGTTTCCCCATCCCGCGAGCCGACGAATTGATCGACCAACTAAGCACCGCCTAGGTTTTCTTGAAAATCGAACTTAGAGGGGGTTACCACCAAGTTCGCGTCAACCCACCCGACTGCCCAAAGACAGCGTTTCGTACATGCTACGGATCCTTCGAATACACCGTCATGCCCTACGGATTGACCAACGCCCCTGCCACTTTTCAAATGACGATGAGCGAAGCCTTCCGCCCGCTTTTAGATAAATGCATCATCGTCTACTTAGATGACATACTGATTTACAGCCCCGACCGAGCACATCACCTACAGGACATCGAAGCAATTTTTAATATACTGAGTGAGAACAAAAGCATCTATGTGTGAGTTTCTACAAGATAGACTAGATTTTTTAGGCCACATTATTTCAGCTGACGAAGTGGAAATAGACCCGAAGAAGATCGCGACGATTCAAGCTTGGCACGCGGCGACAAATCTGATTGAGCTGCATAGTTTTTTGGGGTTCGTCAGCTACGTGCGCCGGTTCGTCCTTGACATGGCGAACTTGACTCCTCTGTTGACCGACCTGCTGAGGAAGGGGGTTGAGTATACGTGGGGGGAGAAAGAGCAAGCTGCCTTCTCG